TTTTTTTTTTTTTAGATTTTTAAGTAATTTTTACACCCAACGTAGGGTAGAATTCAAAGATCAAGAGTTTCATGTTCTACCAACTGAGCTAGCCAGGCATGCCTGCTTTATCTCATTTTTGTAAAATTTTAAAGCAAAAGAAACTTGAGGGAATGAATATTGTGTGTGTGTGTGTGTGTGTGTTTAGCAGATGAGAAATAGTGCCTGAAAGTGTCGGTGTATGTGTGTCTTAGGTATTGAACAGATGAGAGGTAGTGCCCCTAAGGAGGCAAAGTGACTTGCCTAGCCAATTTATTTTAGAACTAGGACTAGAGTTCAGGTCTGCCCACTTGTTTTTTTTCCGTAAGTTCTGGTTTTCAGACATTTTGTTTGAGGGTATGTATGAACCCTCTTTCTGGATGAAATCTTATTTCATCCAGAAAGCCCAATAAGTGAAATGGAAAGCAGAGCTGCTCTGGTCATAGTGGGATTCAAGGACCCAAAGTATATCCTTGGATCTGTATAACTTCCTGGGTTAATGCTCTGCATCATGCTGTCTTAGTCATTTACTCAGTAGCCTTTTGTTGTGTGCTTCATGTCAGAGACTTGGCTTGGCATACAACTTAGAAAATCCAGATAATTTTACTCCATACTTCTTTCTATGTTGCTTGACTCTTTCCCAATAAGATTTATTTATGTAATTGAAAGAGAGGGAAAACATGCAGATAAGAAAAACAGATTAAAAATAATCTGTAATACCATTGGCCAGAAAGGACAATTTCTGCCTTCAAAGGCTCCCAGCACAATGGGTGAAACAGACAAGTCAGCAGGCAAATTCCATGCTACACAGAGATAAATGAAGCCATAAAGGAGCAGGCCTCACCTACCGGCTCTGGAGGGAGTGGAGGCAGTCAGAGGCGGCTTCTAGCCAGGAGGTGATACTTGAGCGGAGTCTTAACAGATGAGTAGCATTTAGCCAGAAAGTGAAGAGTGAGGGCAGGCACTTGGTATTGAAGTAGAACGGAAGAGTGCTGATGTGTGGGAAATCACACCCAGGATCGGATCATTGCTGGAGGGGTGTGGTGGGAAATGAAGCTGGAGGCAGGCACAGGCTGAGAGGGTTTGGGTTTTTCTCCAGGCAGTGATAGGGAGGTAGTGTATTTTTAGCAGCAGGAATTAACTGATTGGGTGCATTAGAAAAGTGTGGATAGTAGGTTGGGGTTGAGACTGGAGACAGAAGGCTGTTACAGTTGAAAATCGAGAGTTTTGCACTAAAGCAGCAAAGATGGAAGAAATGAAGATGAGAGACATTTAGAAAGTAAAATCTTTTTTTTTTAAGTTCGTTTATTTTGAGTGAGAGAGAGCGCGAGTGCGCGCGTGCATGGAGGAGGGGCAGAGAGAGAAGGAGAGAGAGAATCCCAAGTAGGCTGTTGCGGTGCTTGAACTCACTAACCCGTGAAATCATGACCTGAGCCGAAATTGAGTTGGATGCTTAACAAACTGAGCCAGCCAGGCGCCCCTAGAAAGTAAAATCTTAAAGAGTTGGTAACAGTTGTAAGACTGAGGAAGAGGAAGGAAGTTGGAATGACTCTAGTTTGGGGGACTGAATGATGGTGTTGTTGACAAAGAGAAACAGGTTTGTGGAGGAGGATATGAATTCAATTTTGGATATGTTTAGTAATGTTTTAATGATTTTCTCTTTACAAAAGTAATGAGTAAGAAATTTATGAACTATGGCTTGGATGCCTGGCTGGCTCACTTGGTAGAACATGGGACTCTTGATCTTGGGGTTGTGAGTTTGAGCCCCATCGTGGGCATAGGATTTATTTTTAAAAGAAAGAAATTGGGGCTCCTGGGTGGGTCAGTTGGTTGAGCGTCTGACTATTGATTTCAGCTCAGGTCATGATCGTAGGGTCGGGAGATCAAGTCCCACATTGGGCTTTTAGCTGACAGCACGGAGCCTGCTTGGGAATCTTTTTCTCCTCCTCTCTCTGCCCCTTCCCTGCTCTCTTTCTCTCTCTCAAAATAAATAAACATTTAAAAAAGAAATGTATTAACTATGGATAAGTATAAAGTATAACTATAAAGGATTCTACTTAATCCAGTGATTCATAATAGTTTTGTGTATATCCGTCCCCTCCCTTCCTCCCTTTTATCTTCTACTTTTTTAAAAAGGAGGCTGTGCTGTATATACATACTGATTTGTTTTGTTTTCTTTTCCCCTCCCTCACACTGCTATGCGTACTGAGTTCTAATCTGCTCTTACTCATTAATACATCGTGAATGACTTCTCACATCATTAAATGGTTAGTGCTATCATTAAAAAAAATTTTTTTACTGTATTAAAAATGTGGAAAAAATTAGAGAATGCCAATAAAAATAGAAAATGTTAAACTATCAATAATTAACCTTTGTTAGCATCTTACGTTTTACATACTTATGATAGGAAAACTAGAAAATTCAAGTAAATATAGAGAAGTATTACCCCAAATTAACTTTTGTTAGTACCCGTGTATATCCTGCAGATGTTCTATATAGATGTACCTTGAAATTTAGCTACTGCTTTTATTGAGTTCTTTTTATACATCAGGCACTGTGATAAGCTCTTGAAAAATGTTTTTTTTTTTTAATTTTTTAATGTTTATTTTTTTGAGGAGAGGGGGGATAGAGATGGGGGAGGGGCCCCTGAAGCAGGCTCTAGGCTCCTGAGTTGTCAGCACAGAGCCCAATGTGGGGCTCAAACGTACCAACCTACCAACCACAAGATCATGACCTGAGCCAAAGTTGGGTGCTTAACCAACTGAGCCACCCACCCAGGCACCCCAAAAAGTGTTATTTCATTTAATTTTCAAAACTACCCTATGAGATAGGTTCTATTATTTTTCCTGTTCTATAGAAGAGAAAATGAATCCAAATCCTCTTAAGGGTATTGTTTTATAATCTTTTTTACTTGACTATGTCACACATTTACTGCTGTGTAAAGATATTTACTGCCACATCTTGAAGAACTTAACTGGCATTCCCTTCTATGCTTGTGCCATCAGTGTTCCCTTATTGAACTTTCGATTATTTTCAGTTCTTTGCTATTATAAACTTTTTTGCAATTATTAACATGTTTGTATACTTCTCTAGTTTTTTTTTTTTTAAGTTTTCATTTATTTTGAGAGAGACACACACACACACACACAGCATGAGTAGGGGAGCGACAGAGAGAGGGAGAGATACAGAACCCCAAGCAGGTTCTATGCTGTCAGTGCAGAGCCCAGCATGGGGCTTGAACCCACGAAGCCATGAGATCATGACCTGAGCTGAAATCGAGAATTGGGACACCTAACCGACCTAGCCACCAGGTGCCCTTCTACTTGTTTTCTTGAAGTTAATTCCTGGAGATAGAATTCTTGTGGTAGACTTTCTGAAGATGTTTGATACATAAACTACTTTCTAGAAAGATCATACTAATCTGTCTTACTCCAGGTGATACAAGAGTACCTGTTTCCCTGAATCGTTATGACCACCATAAGACAGTTACTTGTTCTTCACATTTTTTTGAGCACCCTCAGTGTGTCAGGCACTGTACAACAGTGAGCAGTGGATGCTGCCTTCTGCAGCTAGCAGTCTCCTGTTAGAATTTTACCTTTTACCAATTTCATTGGTAAATGATGATACTGTGTTTTAGCCTGAAAAATTTTTTTTGTGGTTGAATTTTTTTCGTATATGCTGGTTCTCTGATTTCTTTTATGTAGTTCATATCCTTTGCTTATTATCCTGTTGATTTATAAGTCCTCTTTATGTTAATGCTCTATAGATTTAGGACATTATCTGTATGTGTTACAGATGATTTTTTCTTCCAGTATATATATCATCTGCTTATTATATTCCTAAGTAAATAAAAGTCTTTCGGTCTTTCCCTATTTTAGTTGTCATATTCTTCCCTTTATGTGTTTTTCCATATAGTACTTCTGTGAGGTTTTTTTTTTACATTTACATTAAAAAAATTTTTTTAATGTTTATTTTTGACAAAAAGACAGTGCAGGTGGGGGAGGGGCAGAGAGAAGAGGGAGACACAGAATCTGAAGCAGGTTCCAGGCTCTGAGCTGTCAGCACAGAGCCCAGCATTGGGCTCGAACTCATAAACCTTGAGATCATTACCAGAGCTGAAGTTGGACGCTTAACTGATTAAGCCACCCAGGCACCCCTACATTTACATTTTATAACTCAGCTAGAATTTGAGAAGAAGCCGTGAGGTAGGGGTTTAACTTTATGATTTTTTCCCCAAATTAACCAGTTATTATCAGTAGCTTATATTTAATAATCAGTGCTTTCTGCACTGCTGAAATACACTTTTATTATTTCTTACATAGATCTAGGTTTGTTTATGGACTTTCTGTTTTGTTCCATTTATCTAGCTGTCTGTCCCTGTGCTCCCCTTGTAGTCGATTCTAGCTTTTGGTGGCGCAAGTCCCATTTTCTTAGTTTTTTTTCCCTCTGCTTAATCTTCCAGATGGATTTTAGAATCCTTTTTTTTAATGATTTCCAAAAAATTCCATTGTGTGGTTATTTTAATTTTTTTTAATTTTTTTTTTCAACGTTTTTTATTTATTTTTTTTGGGACAGAGAGAGACAGAGCATGAAC